TTTTTCTTTTAAAGGAAAGACCAATTAAGAGGTTGAAACTAAGTTGGATTTCTTTACTTTTTTCACAGTGTTTTCATGACAATTTTGCTGTTATGTATTTTTGGTTGATATAAAAAGATTACTGTTCTTTTTTACAATTGTTGGCTGGTTTCTTTGCCCATGCTACCCCTCCCTCAATGTCAGCATCATTGGCTCCAGTGAATCGAATCTAGCATACCCTTACTGGTCCAAAGAGAAACCCATTGTCCATACCGGAGTGCTTCATCACCTCCAACTATTATAAAACAGACGCAAGCCCTTGTTACACAAACATGTAATGCGCCAAACAGAAAATCAAGAGAGGAAATCACAAAATAAATTATATGGGGGTTGCGGGGTTGTGGACACACAACAAAGGAACAAACTACACAAACAACTCCGAGACAGTCCACTCTCCTACAAAAGGAAAGATGACGTTTGGGGACTATTCACCCCACGTTCTAGTTGAGATGGTATAACCCAAGAGGTGCTTGCTACTGTTACCAGCCAAGTCTTGTGTCGTTATTAAACAAACAAATGACGGAAGTCCGACAGAGCACGAAAGCAATGCATTCTCGCCGTAAGTAATCAACTCTTCTCGAGCATTTGCTCCAGAGCAAATTGGAGTTCACATGTGCAAATTTACATCGGTGCTGCTCCGCAAACGAACATTTGCTCTGGAGCAAATTTTTAAAACCCCCTCCCTGAAGTGGATCAAATTTGCTCCGGTGTAAGCTGTTTTCCGTGGCTACCCCAGAGCAAATTTGCACGTGTGACCGCTCCACTGGCGCAGCGCTGGCGTAGCGCTGGAGCAAATGTTGCCGTGTGAACACCCCTTAAAACAGGCTGGATAGAGGCTCTCAAGGACTGGACCTGGGCACTCCTGGTGTAAATGGACCCAGTTTGAGTTTACAGTAAAATATTTTTAATGAGTGACTCAATTACAACTGAAGACAGTCAGTTTTGACTGAACACTGACAGTCAGAAAAGCCTGTCTGCACATTTGGTACTAGCTTCAAATCAAATGAACTTTTACTTCAGCAAACAAGCCAGTGTCCTTGGCTACATTTGAATCAACAGAGCAAGTTTGTTTTTATCATGTCATGGCCACTGACAGATTAGTCACCAGTCAAGGCAACGCGCCCACCGAAAACACTCTCAAATAAAAGTACTAGCTTTGCCTTGAGCATCTATTTTGACTGGAGACAGAATGGACTTACATACCAATTATAGTAAAATACAACTTAATTTATATAGCACATTTCACAACAACTGCAGCTGTAACAAAGCACTTTACATATAACATAAGGCCAAACAAAAAAGATAGTGTGTTTCTGGTAACATGAAATTTCAGCATAGGGTCGGTAGGTCGGGCAAAGGTTTTTTTTTTCATCTTTTTTTTTTTCCCCCCCCATCAAAAATTTAAACAAAATAACCATAAAACATAAAACAAGAAGACATTGAACCCGTCGCTACGCGGCCGGCGCCGCTGCCACCTATTTAATTTTCTCCCCGCTCCGGACTCGGGGGGCCGGGGCGCGCCGCCGCCGTCCTCCTCCGCCATCCTCCTCCGCCCTCGGTTTTTACTCGGCCCGTGGTGTTCATCAAATAGTTTGCTGAATTTTTTCGATACATCAATGGATGCTATTTTCTTTACATTACGGTGCGAGCATGCGACTGTAACACAGAAAACGCGGTTTAAACTGTTGTCGGAGATCGCGGCCTCCGCCATGATTCAATGTTGTTGACAGACGACAGGGCAAACGACGTACGCGCTCAACGTGAATATCGCGAGAGTTTGCACCGAAGTAAACCCTCTACACAAAAATGTAGAGGGTTGTTTGAAAAAAATGCCGACCGTAAAGTTTTTTTTCGATGTAGAAATTCTCGGTCGGTCGGGTTACCGGAAACACACTACTTTTTTTCTTCGCCTAAAATAGAATGCATCTCTACTAATATAGCACTTTCACAACAGCTGCAGCTGTAACAAAAAACGCATAATTTTGCTCAACGGGACATCGATCTCACTGTCATCCACCTAGCAGTGGAAAGAAATGCCATGTTTTCTTAGGCTGGAACCTAAGGACAGCAAATAAAGTGAAAACAGCAGGGGCCCCAAAATAGAACCCTGTGGAACAGCATATGAGAGAGGGTCAGAGCGGGACTCAGCACTTGTGGTGCACCTTATTAAACGCTTCAGTTAAATCCAACAAAATAATACATACATAGTCTCCATTGTCATTTGCCTGGACGATATCATTTAAATTCGTAATAGGGCTGACTCTGAGCTTTGCATCATCTTGAAACTTGACTGGACAACCTCAATGACATTATGTTTATCAAAGAAAGATTTTAACTGCATGTGCACCACTTTTCCCAGAATTTTAGAAATAGAACGCAGCCTGTAATGGGTCTAAAATTAGACAGCACAACTTGATCAAGGCCACGTTTCTTAAGCAGGGGGTGTACGGCAGCATGTTTTAAACATTGCGGGATACACCAGAAGACAGACTACTGTTAATAATGCCATAAACCGATTCACCAATACTCAAGAGAACCCCCTTAACCCTTTCAGGGACAGCGGTTACTAAAGCGGACAACTTACCATGTTATCAGGTTACAGGGGGCATGAGAGGTTTAAAGAAGTGAGGAGGAACAGAGTCATAATGAGAGCCGGATGGCTTAATTTGGCAACCCACATCCTCCAAAAAGCTCAAGGAAACTGCCTCAAAGGAATCCAACACTGTGGGACAAGGAACGTGGACAGAGGGGTCAAAAGTGGCATTCGAAATGAGAGCCATAGCTGTAGGAGTCTTGTCAAAGAAAAACTACAAAATTCCCTTGCAGTAGGAGATGAGTCTGCGCAAATAGGCTGATGGGGTTGACATATGATGGAGAAAGACAAACTTAATATTATCATGTTACAAAGTTTCATTTCAGTATATGCTTGATTGACCTCGAACGCGTATGTTCTCACAGTTTGTACACAATAGAGCACACAGAAAAAAGGGCCAACTTGAGCTGAATGCTAATTTAGACAAAAAGGTTCAAATTCGGGATGGTAGCATGATAAGATGTCCTTCAGCTTGTTGCAGTGTCTCAATTCATGCGAAATCTAAACTTTGAATTAACAAGGTATGCATTGTTTGCACCGGAAGATGTTTTGGCCTACAGGTGTCCACTGAGGGGCATATTGGTGGGTTGGACTGAGAAGCACGACACGCAAATAAGGAGGAATGTTTTTCTGATATCTTACTTGTATTTTCCATATCCTGTAAATAAAAAATGGTCAGCGGGGGCGCGAAGGTGGGGTTTCCATCTGAGAGGCAACACGACTTGTGCTGCCTTTGAGGAACTTGCCCCCCTTTGCTGATCAGCAAAATACAATCTGTTCCTGAGTTGAGTCGAGTCTTTTCAATCAAAGTTCAAGATGTCGGGTGGGTGTGAGTTCCAGAGTTCGGGGGCAGAAAGCTCTGGACCCCATCGTGCTGAGACAGGCAGAGGGTACACAAAGGTGGGGGGAGGCTGAGGACCTGAGGGAACGAGAGGGAATGGAAATTTGAAGAAGGTCAGACAGATGGGGGGGGGGGCAAGGTTATGGATGGCTTTAAATGTAAAGAGGAGTATTTTGTAGTTGATTCTCAGTTTGACAGGGAGCCAGTGGAGCTGTCGGAGGATGGGGGTGATGTGATGGAAGGAGGGAGTTCTAGTGATGATATGGGCTGAAGAATTTTGGACCAGTTGAAGTTTATGGAGGAATTTGTGATGGACACCGAAAAGAAGTGATTTGCAATAGTCAATACGGGAGGTGACGAGACTGTGGACAAGGATAGCAGTGGAGTGAGGGGTGAGAGAGGGACGGAGATGTTTGATATTGCATCGGTGGAAATATGCGGACCGGATTATGTTATTAATGTGGGAGTGGGAAGATAGTGAGCAATCGAGGATGACACCCAAGTAATAATGCAATGAGACGATTAAACATTTATGTGGTTTCACTGTCATAACAAGCCGATATGAGAGTTATTAACGGCCCTCCAAGGGAAGACGTAACTCCAAAGTGGCCTGGCACAAAAATGAGTTTGACACCCCCTGGTTTACATTATACAGATTATTCTCAATGCCATGCCTGACTTGCCACACAGTTCATCCCATGTCAAAAACACAGAACACATGCTTTATGTTCCCTTCCCAACCATCCGGCATTACACACACATTAAAAAAAAAAAAAAAAAACACTACTGGTATAGAGACAAGCATGTGATGGAGCCGGTCTCCCATTCATTAAAATGTAACTTGTTCTCAAGCATCACAAGACGAGATCAGCAGCCAGCACCTGGCATTACTGTGCGGGGGGAAGGTACGCATGCAAATCGAAACGCAGGGATGACAAAGCAGCAGAGATGGAAGATGACATACAGGCATAAATGAAAAATGAGTATGAGAGATACTGAGAAATGTAAAGAAGGACAAAGACAGACAACAAAAAACACATTTGTGAGAAAGCAGAAAAATAGTCACATGACTCACATGAGGGTTCTTGCACAGAAAACCATGATGCTTTTCCATCCCTCCACAACAGAATGTTCCACCAGTCCCCCGACAGTGCCGTAGTTCAACCCTTCAGTCTATTTCTATTGCTATTTAAACGTGTTAAATTGGTAAGCGGAAATGTGTAGGGAGGAGAATGGAGAGGCAGAGAGAGAGAGGGTGACATGGGCAAGTAGTCGGGGGAGGGGAGAGATTGGGTTGGGCTTATTTGAAGAGCCTATGATTGGTTGAGAGGGTGGAAAAAAGAATGAGAGAAAAACTACAATATTGTATTTTATTTCAAAAAAACGCTATATTAATGATTAAAAAATGTACACAGCAACTGAGGCACACTACTGTCGTCATGTAAATGCACACCATTTTGCAATTATACAACAGCTCATTGTATCATCTGGTAACTGATTTTCTCAATTGTAAATAGCATTTTGAATAAAACCATATTTAAGCAACCACGCTAGAAGCCATTGTAGTATCATTTAAAAAAAAAGTCTCGAGTCATGTTTTGTATTGTTTTTTTTCTCACTTGAAGACTTTTCTCAGTACTAAATCCACTGGTCACCAGAAAATTGCAAGGCAAAGAAAGTGATTCACACTCACAGCATCTCTAAATGGCAACCGAACCAACAATGCCTGCATTGACATCGGTCGAACATACTATTGCTCCACCATCAGTGTACACTGTCAGCCTTAGAATTGTAGACGCCAAAAATTTTATTTTATGAACCTCATACGCAAAGATCTATTAAACTCACAAATAAATCCAAGTTACAATCATTAACTGAGTTCCATGCAAAACTCCACTAAGGCCGAGTCTGTGGATTAACACCGCATTGTACATCTTCATAACTAAGCCACAGCTCATCAGAATCTGAACAGTAGAGTGAAAATGTCGACACCTGTTCCTTTTTGATGTACCGGTACAGTAATTTCCCGAAAGTGAACTTCGCTGAGCAAAATGTCCGCTCACACATCTGATGCGGGTTTGAAGGAATCTAAGGAGTGTGGACACGTCTGTGACGGTTTCTTTTCACACAAAGGGTTGAGGACATTGATTTGCAGGATTGAATTTCACACTGGACGTGGGAGCATTTCACCTTTGATACTTTGCCAGAATCCAGCAAAGTACAGAGTCAAGTGCAACCATCCATCCTACGAACGGTACCTGGTTCACAGGACACCGAGCCAAGAAAAAGGACGTTAAGGACTTCCAGCGTGAAAAAGGCTCTCGGTGGCCATCTCCCGTATGGCAGTACATTTACTCACATCATACATTATGTACTCACAGTACATGCATTGTTTGCTCATTAAAAAAAAAAATCACGATTAAGTCTAAAAATAACTCACAACAAAACTCTGCATCTTGAGTCACCCACCAAGCACAATAAGGTGGCACTGTGATGCAATACCTGGAAGTGGAATGACAGTGCACATTTGCTTGTAACTTGACAAAAGGGAGCTTGTGAAGTCAACATAACAGTCAGGGTCTACAGAGCACAGAAACAACCTCAACTACACAGCACTGTAACAGACGCGATCGGCAAGATCATCCATTAATGGTTGCCTCTTGCAAAATGAAAGAAAATGTAAATCAAAAAAAAAAAAGACCAAATTACCATATTTTTCAGACTATGAAGCACACTTTTTTTTTCATAATTTTGCTGGTCCTGCAGCATTTTTAGAGCTCACGTGGTCTTGGGGGCTACCTGGTGGCACCATGTTGGTGACCCCTGCATTCGCGGATATTGGCAACTGGATAATCTGTAATGACACCCCCCAAACATGGATGGGGAAAGTGACATCATTTGATCTGGACGATGATGTTGCAGAAATCTGTAATCCAATTTGTCACAACAGATACAGATACAGCCCTGCGATTGGCTGGCAACCGGTTCAGGGTGCCCCCCCCCCGCCTACTGCCCGAAGACGGCTGGGATGGCCTTGTGAGGATAGAGCAGGTCGGAAAATGGATGGATAGATACAGGTACAATACATCCGTCTGTCCATTCGAAAAGTCGCAATTCCGTTGCATATATGTTGAGTGAAAATACCAAACATTAAAAATGTTATTACAACTGGTCAGAAAGACGTTGTTCCCGTGTAATCGCCTAATTTAGCACCACAATGACGAGTGGTTAGACGTGGCCAGCGCCAGAGTGGATGCAAAATCCAAGGATGCCAATTCATTCTTAAGCCATGAAATCGTACTCGCGTTTTATCTATCACCTCCCGCGTCTGCTGCTGCAGCACCCAAAAGGCGTTCCTGTCTCCCCCAAGTAAGCCTTGAGTGGCTGATAAGACGATGAATGCAAAGGGCTACGGATGTAGAGGACGACGAAATGACTTCGCTAGACTTATGCTAGCTCGTGACTTGAAATAACACCTTATCGCAATTAAGAGATGCGATATTTTTATTGCGCGTCAACTACGAGTCATCCTCCCTAACGGACTCCGAGTGTCGCCGTTAGCTGAGCTGTTTCACCACACCTACTGCATAGATTCAATGTCTAAATTTCGCTAACGCTTAGCCGAAGTTCACCACTCCAACACTAGTTACAACGAATGAAAAACTACCGATGATGGCTGACGTTACCTTTAATTATGCGAAGAGAGAACTTTACTGTGGTGTGGGTAAGCGCCGGCGTAATCACCTTTCTCTTCTGTATTTTGCTGGAGACACTGAGCCGCGAGTCAAAACCAGAGTTAATAGTCGTGCAGTCCAATTGTGGGAGGAAGAGGAAAATTCCGAGTTTCCAAACGTTACGTAAACGCCTCGTGCTCCTGACACCTCCCATTTCTCACTTTCAAGATGGCCTCTGCTGTCCACAGTGTCGACATGAAGTGGAAGCAAGTGTGACATTCATCAGTGTGACATTCATCAAAATAAATCGTCACTAGACTGAAATTTTTTCGTCCGCTTTTGTACCGTGTCAGTGTTTATAAATACCGTGATGTCGAGTTGAAACAGATCCTCGCTACTTGCTTCGTGGAGGATGGCATTGACAACTGTGGGTAATGGGTGTTTTAACGACTGTACATAGGCCAAAACTCCAACCTTTTTGAGCCAAGTCACATACTTTGGAAAAATTTATGGCACACTACTAAACAAAATATTAATGATATTCTGAAACAATAATGATCTACTCGTCTCAGTTTACTCAAATGTCCTTACTCCGCGTGAAATCTGTGCCTGCTTTATAAATGCCACACATGCACACGTACAGTACATCATTCATTTTTCCGAACCGCTTTATCCTCACTAGGGTCGCGGGGGGTGCTGGAGCCGATCCCAGCTGTCTTCGGGCAGTAGGCGGGGGACACCCTGAACCGGTTGCCAGCCAGTCAGTCGCAGGGCACACAGAAACACACAACCATTCGCACACACACTCAAACCTAGGGACAATTTGGAGTGTCCAATCAGCCTGCCATGCATGTTTTTGGAGTGTGGGAGATAAACCGGAGGACCCGGAAAAAACCCACGCAAGCGCGGGGAGAATATGCAAACTCCGCACAGGAAGGCCGGAGCTGGAATTGAACCCGGTACCTCTTCACTGTGAAGCCGACGACGTGCTAACCACTCGACTACCAGGCCGCCCACATTAAGCATATACTGGACTTACACACACACACACACACACACACACACACACACACACACAGAGAGAAGAGGATTGTGTCGAGTCAACTATCTAGATGACACTGTCTCCAGGCACAAATAATGTATTATTTTATGCCATTTAAACAGAACAAAAAAATTACCATTGCAAAAAAAAAAAAAAAATTAACGGCAGTTTGAATTTTCATCATTATAAGCCAAATGCCAATTTATTGTCCCGACTAAATGCTAAATAACTTCTTCTTTTTTTTCCTTTCGGTTTTTCCCTTCAGGGGTCGCCACAGCAAATCAGTTGCCTCCATCTAACCCTGTTTTGTGCATCCTTTTCTCTCACACCAGCTACCTTTATGTCCTCTTTCACTACATAATTGCTAAATCACAAATTTGACAGGAAAAAAAGCAGCAGCAACACACATTTCTCTTTAAAATAATGGCAGTGTTCTTCAAGTATTTAGGTGAACCTAGTGGACATACTTTTGGCCCATGAACATGAAATTCTGCGGTTAAAATATTTTTGAAATTTTAACATGATTTTCAGGGCAGTTTAGATGTACAGTAAACTCTTTACGCTTACAAAAAAGAAGGACCTTTGGCTCCCCCTGGTGACATATTATCGATCAACAGGGGGCGAATCTTCCTTTTTAAAATGTTTTTAAATATGTATTTCTTAACATACATCCATTCATTGTATGTTCTTTTTGCTCACACGCGGTTCTTTTTCCTCACACGAGCGTGTTGGAGCATATCCCAGCTGACGTCGGGCAGTAGGCAGGGTACACCTTGAACTGCATGGTTACCAGCCAATCGAATAATAGACAGACAACCGTTCATACTAACAATCACACTTACGGGAAATTTTAGAGCATTCAATCATCAACTTGCCATGAGAATTGTCCATGCCAGTAAGAAACTCTTTTTTTTCCATACATCTGATGCAGCTGAGACATTTCTTGGTTAACTTTCCTCCATTGACTGTTATATGACAGCTTAATGTTCGTGGCCAAGGACAAGTGCAGAGGTGCCCAACTCTGCTACTGCTACTTTGTGTGCTGCAATGCAGGACCAGGTTGCATAAGAACTGATGACTTCCTGGAGATTCAGGATCCCTTAACAGAGCATTTTATTTCCTGTGGCTGTGAGTGGGTGTGGAGATGATGGAAAACTTTCTGACGGAAACAAATGCAAACAGGAAAGTGTGAAAGATGACAATGATTTGCAAGTGCTTTTTGACTTCGATGCAAGACACAACAAGGACAATATACAGTACTTCCTGTTGAAACTGATAAAGTTGATTGTTTTGTTTTGTTTTGTTTTTTTGCAAATATTCACTCACTTTGAATTTAATGCCTGCAATGCATTACAAAAAAAGCCGGGACAGGGCTATGTTTGCCCCATTTTTTTTGTAACGTGTTGCAGGCATCAAATACAAAATGAGAGAATGTTTGAAAAACAATAACACACATTGGTTTGAACATTAGGATCCATCCATCCATTTTCTGATCCGCTTCTCCTCACGAGGGTTGCGGGTGTGCTGAAGCCTACCCCAGCTGTCTTCGAGCAGTAGGCGGGGGACACCCTGAAATGGTTGCCAGCCAATTGCAGGGTACACGGAGACACACACACACACACAAACACACACACACACGCACACACACACCCATAGGGACAATTTAGAGTGTTCCATTAACCTTCCATGCATGTTTTTGGAATGTAGGAGGGAACCAGAGTACCTGGAGAAAACCCACCAGGCACAGGGAGAACATGCAAACTCCACACAGGAAGCTGGAGCCGCCATCGAACCCTACACCTTTGCGCTGTGT